TATTGCCAATAAATTTGTAACCAGTGTTTTAGTGCTTTCCAGAAAGAGATGAGCTGACTAAACGAACCGGCTGATTAAAATTAGGAAATCTGGACAAGATATTAGATCAGCAAGTCATTCAGGTGAAGGAAATTCCTAAATTACACACAAGACATCCCAATACAAAGTGATAGAACTAACTTGGGAAAAGGGACTTTCGGTGCTCATCAGAGTACACGGAGTGAAAAGCAACAGCTATCTTTTGGTGAAAATATGAGGTGGCTCTGAAAAGAGCCGTTTGGTTCTGCACAACTTGTGGAGAGCTCACTTGGAGCTGGTGTACTTGGTGACGGCCTTAGTGCCCTCCGACACGGCGTGCTTGGCCAGCTCCCCGGGCAGCAGCAGGCGCACGGCCGTCTGAATCTCCCGAGACGTGATGGTCGAGCGCTTGTTGTAGTGCGCCAGGCGAGACGCCTCGCCCGCGATGCGCTCGAAGATGTCGTTCACGAACGAGTTCATGATGCCCATGGCCTTGGACGAGATGCCGGTGTCCGGGTGCACCTGCTTCAGCACCTTGTACACGTACACCGAGTAGCTCTCCTTGCGGCTGCGCTTGCGCTTCTTGCCGTCCTTCTTCTGCGCCTTGGTCACTGCCTTCTTCGACCCCTTCTTGGGCGCGGGAGCGGACTTCGCTGGCTCAGGCATGGTGAGAGAGGGCTGAGAGCTACAGAACAAAGCCTCCCCGAGGCCCCTCTTTATCTACATGGCTTTATGCAAATTGGGAGTGTCAAGGACCTCCTGTGGTTGGTGTGCAGGCCTGTGTGACGCCAAGAGCCCGCCTCGTCCAATGAAAACACGCTTCCAAAAGGACCGCGTTCTATTGGTCTAAATGAACTGTTCGGACAGACCAATCGCAGGGGGGCCTTTTCGCACCCAGCGCGGACTATAAAGGTGCGTTTTCGCTCTCCTGCTCCGTACTGACTGGAAACGGCAGTTGAGACTTCGCTATGTCTGGACGTGGCAAGCAGGGAGGCAAAGCTCGCGCTAAGGCCAAGACCCGCTCTTCCCGAGCTGGTCTCCAGTTCCCAGTCGGCCGAGTTCACCGGCTGCTCCGCAAAGGCAACTATGCCGAGCGTGTCGGCGCCGGCGCCCCGGTGTACCTGGCGGCCGTGCTGGAGTACCTGACCGCCGAGATCCTCGAGCTGGCTGGCAACGCGGCCCGCGACAACAAGAAGACCCGCATCATCCCGCGCCACCTGCAGCTGGCCATCCGCAACGATGAGGAGCTCAACAAGCTGCTGGGCAAAGTCACCATTGCCCAGGGCGGTGTCCTGCCCAACATCCAGGCCGTGCTGCTGCCCAAGAAGACCGAGAGCCACCACAAGGCTAAATAGGGGGTTTTAAGCTTCTCAGACTACAAAGGCTCTTTTCAGAGCCCCTCACAAAATCGTAAAGAAGGAGACACTACTTGTTCGGTACATATTTGCAATCACGCAAATCCCTGTGTCATTAGAATATTGTGTTTTACAGACATTCCAAGTAGCTTTATGTAAACTTAGTATTTGTACTTTGCATTTTCCTGTCAAATGAGACTTGGGCAAGTGTGAGGCTTGAACTCAAGTCCTTAGCACTATCCTTGGCAGGCATTTTTTTCTCAATGCTAGCATTCTACTTTGAGGCACACCGCTATTTTTCTGTGTGTGGTACTGAGAAATCGAACCCAAAGGCTTCATGCATGTTAGGCTTGCACTCTAGCACTAACATACCTTCCCAACCCCTCAAATGAGTTTTGTGTTTAATAATCTGGTTATGTAGGAAAATGCATGGTAGAGTAGGCCAAGTTTTGCTGTGTCACACTGTCAGGCTGGTTTCAAGAGCACTAATGGACAGATACCAGTATAAAAATAGCCAAGGGCTATTTTGAGAAAACAAGCTAAAGACTATCCTGGTATTTAAGGAAACAGGATTGTGGTCAAGAAGCCAGCCTGACAAGTCCTTGAGATTCTCACCTTCAGTTAACTAGCCAGAAGTGAAAGTCCCAGCCCTGAAGAAGCTAAAACACAGTACTTGGCGGTCACACCTACCAAAAGATAGTCCATAAATCTGGGTACACCGTGCTTTACTGTGCATCTTGAATTGGAAGTTACACATGTTTTGCCTTTTCAGGAAGTTTCTGTACAACTCTTTAGTGTTTTACTAAATCTGAACATGATGTTCACAAAGCAATTATTTTAAACCAGATACATCGCATCAGAGTATTAACTTGTCCTAAAAGAACACGTTCAGTTTGCTGTACAAGGCCGTGGGCTTGTCTCCACCTTTGCTAAAGTAATGCTTTTAAAGGCCAAGCATTGTAGCTTTTGTCATGTAATCTCAACACATGTAAGACAAGCTGGAGGATTCCAAGTTCTAGGCCAACTTGAGCTCCACATAGCAAAGAAAGACCCTTTCTCAAAAGAAAAAAAATATGAAACAGAAGAAGCACATAAAAGCAAATAATTACACTGTTGAAAGCAAGTAAAACAACTATGATGCAGGAATAAACACAAAAGCATAGAATATTTGGGAATCGACATAATATCTGTGCAAAATGACGTTTTCAAGATTATAAGAAACGAATTGAGAATCCAACAGAGAATGTGCACCATCAAAGACTGATCTGAGCAAAAGTTCTAATATGAGCAAGGTAAATGAGTTTTGAAATTGGTAGTAAGGCAAAGGTTACAAGAGATAGGTCAGAAGGTACTTATAGGTCACTTTGTTTTAAATATTTTAAGTTTTAGATAAGAGGTTGGCCATGTATTTTCAGGCCTTGAAGTTTTCATCTTTTGGCTTCATGTCTGGGATTACAGACATGCACTGCCACATTCTGTGGGAAAAAATTCTTCGCATATTAGTGACTTTGAAATCTGTATGCCCATCCTGACATATCTTCAGTACTATACGTATTCAACATTACAGGCTTATCAGCATTGTTAACAAGACCGCTTTCTTAAGTTTCCTTGTTTTAATGAATAGTATCACTTTCTATGGGATGAGACAAATGAATATGGAATTTATTAATTTTTGTGTGTTATCTCTATAGCAAAGTTAAAATCTTACATGGGGAGACAAAAGCTCAAAGTTCAGTACGTTTTTATTGTAGTTCAGCACATATTTTTGGAGTGAATACCCACATACACATAATTATAATTACTATCCCAGAATAGATGCTTCATGTAATCACAAGTGGCAAGTTAATTGTATGTTCTGAAATATATCCCCTGGGCTGGGAAGGTGGCTTAGTGGTAGAGTGCTTGCCTTGCATCCATAAGGCCCTGGGTTCAATTCCTCAGTACCACATAAGCAGAAAAAGCCAAAAGTGGCACTGTGGCTCAACTGGTAGCATTGTGCTAAAGAGCTGAGGGACGGCGCCCAGGCCCAGAGTTTAGGCCCCACCACGGACAAAAAAAGAAAAGAAAAAAAAAAAGATATATATCTCCTGGAGGTATTTATCCAGCAAGTCAGAGTGCACTATTGATCAATGCAAATCATGAAATTTCTCTGTGAGCTCATGCAGTATTTTCACATCATAGAAAGTAGGAATGTACAAAAAACACCTTGTCTGTTTAATGATGGGCCTGGGTCAGCATATATCACCACATCCATATTCAGTGGCCTTGTGAGGCATCATTTCCTCCCAAAATAGTGTATTTTCATTTCCAGGAGGTGGCTAATTTCTGAGGGGAATACTCATTTATTTTGCTTAAGTAGCAAGTTTAACAGCATTAGAACATTTTAATTTTGTGAGCGAATGGGATCCTCTAAATTCCACACATAGTATTTATATTGGTGCTAATTTCTGATATGAGCTCACAGAAGGCAATGAGCAGGAGCAAATTGTAATGATTGCAGTAATTGTAAGGAGATGACCTAATTTCAAGACAAAAAATAAATAGACTAGTTACAATAACTAAGTAGTATACATAAATCCTCAAGCCAAAAACTCAAATTTTTAAAATTTGGGGCATTAAAAATTCTGATCTTTCATGAGGCACTGGTAGCTCAGACCTGTAATGCTAGCTACTGAGGAAGCTATCTGAAGAACACAGTTCAAAGGCAGCCTGGGCAGAAAAGTTCCCTTGAGATTCTTATCTCTAATAAACTACTCAAAAAAGCCGGAAGTGACACAGGGGATCAAGTGATACAGTGCTAGCCTTGAGCACAAAAAGGCTCAGGGACAGTGCCCAGACCCTGATTTCAAGTCTCAGGAACTGGGGGGGGGGGGGGGGGAGGGGGGGGAATCAATTCTCTACTTTGTTTCATAAGCTGACAAGTTGAAGAATAAACTCATACACAAATATTGGCCAACTTGCCAAGAAAAATCTGGAATGCCTTGAAGAATTAAAAGCTTAGAAAAATTATAATATACTCATAGGCTCACTTATATAGTTGTTTTCTATTTTTGGTGTTCACATGCAAAAGAAATACTATTACTACTACACTACTGATTACTCAGTTTATTTCATGAACCTGAATATTAGGAGACCAAGTGCTGTGATTTTGTAAATTCAAAGGAGATCAACTGGAGTGTCCTTTCATTAAATCAGACAAGGCTTTGGTGGAAACGGTCACTTAAACAAATCAGGCATATATCTTCCAAAGGGCCGTTGTAACAGTCCTTAAAAGCCTGGCTTTTGGATGCAGGTATAATGAATTAGTATGTTCTAGCACCCTTCCTTTCACCCTTACAAAACTAGTTTGCATAATAAATCTCAATTGCTGTCCCTAATTAATCCAGCCATGAATCAGCCACATAGGCAACATCCTTAAGCTAAGTCTCTCACACCCCACTTAAGATGCACAGCGAAAACTTGAAGTCAGGGTATGTCAGCTCTTCTCAGCTGAAGAAGCGCTTAGTACGGTCAACGTGGAATGCTGAGTCCCAATTAGAACCGTGCCTGGTGCTAGAGCAACAGCTCTTTTCAGTTAATGTGGATGGCTCTGAAAAGAGCCTTTGGGTAGATAGGTGGTGAAAGAGGATTTAGGCCCTCTCTCCGCGAATGCGGCGCGCTAGTTGGATGTCCTTCGGCATGATGGTCACACGTTTGGCGTGGATGGCGCACAGATTGGTGTCCTCAAAAAGACCCACCAGGTAGGCCTCGCTCGCCTCCTGCAGCGCCATCACAGCCGAACTCTGGAAACGCAGGTCGGTCTTGAAGTCCTGCGCGATTTCGCGCACCAGACGCTGGAACGGCAGTTTGCGGATCAGCAGCTCCGTCGACTTCTGGTAGCGCCGGATCTCGCGCAGCGCCACGGTGCCGGGCCGGTAGCGGTGAGGCTTCTTCACGCCGCCGGTGGCCGGAGCGCTCTTGCGAGCGGCCTTGGTGGCCAGCTGCTTGCGGGGCGCCTTGCCGCCGGTAGACTTGCGAGCGGTCTGCTTGGTACGAGCCATGATTTTCGGACTGGAACTAGATAAAAAGGAGAAGGCTGGCTGCCGCTTTATAACGAGAACCTGAAGCTGATTGGACGAAAATAGACCAGGCCCACCTAGCTGCAAACCAATGAAAACTCAAGGAAATTTGTAAGCACTTACATTCGTTGTGGGGAGTTTCACCGATATGTCCTTACGTGTGTGCAATACGCCTTGGTCAAATACACCCATCTGTCATGCATTCTATAAGAAGGTATATTGTTCACCAAGTCCCTTTGTTTTGGCCTCATGCCTATTTTTCTCTCTCGTTACTATCTTTTCCCCACCCCACAAGTTACAGCTGTTTTCCGTGGAAATAAGCGCAATTTTTTTTTTCTTACAGGGTATACTGGAACAAAACTAATCCAAGAGAACTTTTAAGATTCTACTAAATTTACGTGATACGATGTTATTTGGTCTTTGCACTATCTCAAATTCAGTGTATGGGAGTGTGCACACTAATTCAGTCCATCAACTCTATCTAAATTTCTAACACAGTATTCATTTTCAACGAAGACTTGTATGACTTCATGAAGCCACTGTTAAATTTCTAAGTAAAACTAATTTTATGAATCATTACCAAGATTTATCAAGCCAATTTTAAAATAATTATAATGAACCTAAGGAATTGGACTTCCTGATCTTATATGGACCGAATAAACTTGGAAAATCAACCTATCAAAGACAGCTACTGACCAATTACCATCTTAATTCGTGTAACCAGCCAGAAATGAGAACTGATAATTACCCAGGTTGGTCACAGAAACCTCAAGGTTGTTTCTGAAACTTAAGATACACCTTCCACTCTATTTGTTAAAACCAGGGAAATATGCTCATGACCTAAGAGGCAATATTAACTATCTCGGAGACAGCCAAAGATGAGGTTAAGAGCGCCTAGGCCCGGAGTTGAAGCTACATGATTGACAAAAGTACAAATTAAAACTCGAAATAGAAACAAAGCGCACAGTCCCTTTCTCGAAGTTGTAGGTGGCTCTGAAAAGAGCCTTTGGGTTAGCAGGGCTGAAGGACTTATTTGCCCTTAGCCTTGTGGTGGCTCTCAGTCTTCTTGGGCAGCAGCACGGCCTGGATGTTGGGCAGGACACCGCCCTGGGCAATGGTGACTTTGCCCAGCAGCTTGTTGAGCTCCTCGTCGTTGCGGATGGCCAGCTGCAGGTGGCGCGGGATGATACGGGTCTTCTTGTTGTCGCGGGCCGCGTTGCCAGCCAGCTCGAGGATCTCGGCGGTCAGGTACTCCAGCACGGCCGCCAGGTACACCGGGGCGCCGGCGCCGACACGCTCGGCATAGTTGCCTTTGCGGAGCAGCCGGTGAACTCGGCCGACCGGGAACTGGAGGCCAGCTCGGGAAGAGCGGGTCTTGGCCTTAGCGCGAGCTTTGCCTCCCTGCTTGCCACGTCCAGACATAGCGAAGTCTCAACTGCCGTTTCCAGTCAGTACGGAGCAGGAGAGCGAAAACGCACCTTTATAGTCCGCGCTGGGTGCGAAAAGGCCCCTCTGCGATTGGTCTGTCCGAACAGTTCATTTAGACCAATAGAACGCGGCCCTTTTGGAAGCGTGTTTTCATTGGACGAGGCGGGCTCTTGGCGTCACACAGGCCTGCACACCAACCACAGGAGGTCCTTGACACTCCCAATTTGCATAAAGCCATGTAGATAAAGAGGAGCCTCGGGGAGGCTTTGTTCCGTAGCTCTCAGCCCTCTCTCACCATGCCTGAGCCAGCGAAATCCGCTCCCGCGCCCAAGAAGGGGTCGAAGAAGGCTGTGACCAAGGCGCAGAAGAAGGACGGCAAGAAGCGCAAGCGCAGCCGCAAGGAGAGCTACTCGGTGTACGTGTACAAGGTGCTGAAGCAGGTGCACCCGGACACCGGCATCTCGTCCAAGGCCATGGGCATCATGAACTCGTTCGTGAACGACATCTTCGAGCGCATCGCGGGCGAGGCGTCGCGCCTGGCTCACTACAACAAGCGCTCGACCATCACGTCTCGGGAGATCCAGACCGCCGTGCGCCTGCTGCTGCCCGGGGAGCTCGCCAAGCACGCCGTGTCGGAGGGCACCAAGGCCGTCACCAAGTACACCAGCTCCAAGTGAGCTCTCCACAAATTGCGCAGAACCAAACGGCTCTTTTCAGAGCCACCCCACATTGCCATGAAAAGCTAGCTGTACTCTTGGATGTTAATTCTGATCCTTGTTCAGTCACGAGTCACGTTTTGAAGGGACCAAGTTGTAGTTGTTTATATTTCTAAGTCTTGCTGGGTTGGGATTTTTGTGATAGGGAAGTAGGTTAGGAACTGCTATCAAGTTACTCGTTTCAAGAACAATCGCTGCATTTTGTGCATATTCCTTTCCTAGTGTTCCTCTAACACTAAACCAAGTTAATTCACACGGGTATCTCTGAGAAGAGCCTTCGCCTCCGAGTTACTTAATGTTCTCTGAATACTATCTTAGCGATCTGCTTGATTCCGCTGCGGATATCCAGTCATTCAATGGCAGAGCGTGGTGCTGTCCATTTCATCTCGCCAGGGTCTGCCGCTAGCGTTTAGTTTCCTCACTCCCTACACCTTTTCCCCTTTGGCTGCACCCGGACATTCTAACAAACCTTAAAAATCAACACATTATTGTAATGGCCTATTTCAAATAGCGGACCAAATTGAGAACTACTTTGAGGAAGGCGGGCAACGTCCCAGTTGTAGGTCCGCCTTCTTTCTCTTTCAAACCTAGGAGAAGGCGGAAGTCCCAACGCCGCTTACCAGAGAACCCTTGAGGACATGTTGGAGACAGTTGGTGCGGGCTGTGCTGTGAATTCCCCCGAAGAGCTAGAGGGGATGGATGCTGCAGCTTAGAGATGTGAGTATTTTACGCAAGAAATCGCTCAAAGCCTCTAATTGGATTACAAACAGAGACACTAGCTTTTGGCCCTAGTTTCATACTGTGTCAGTGTGTTAGTGTGTTGAGAATGTTAGCTTTTTAGAGTGCTCCATGAACTACAATACCATCAAGTATTCTCACCTGCTTCTCAAATTAGAGCTCTGTAAGCTGGGGAGGGAGGAGAAGAGCAATTTACCTAGTCACAGGGCAAGGAATAGGGTCAATTATATTTAGGTGACTGATAATCAGTCCAGTCGCTTAGCAGCTGAACTGTTTTATTTTAGGTCATAATCCTCACAAGAGAAAAGAGAGCTTTTGTTTTTATCATTCTTGCATGGTATCAATTCACTTATTCAAACTTACCCAGTGTACATGATCTGGTGTTGTACCTGACACTTGATCCAGATAGGACAGCTCTTAGCTCTGCTATCTTTTGGCAGGCTACAGAACTGGTTCTGCATGTTTTCTTTTTGTGAAAATGTGAAAATCTTGAGGATTGCAATTACATATTTAAAGAGAATTCAGGAGCAATCATTAAGTATTTATTGCCTTCTGGGGGGGAGGGGCAGGGGTCGATCATGGAGCCTGAACTCTGAGCCTGGGCGCTGCCCCTCAGCGCTTCAGCTCAAGGCTAGCGCTCTACCACTTGAGCCACAGTGCCACTTCCAGCTTTTCCTGCTTACGTGATGCCTTATGTATGCAAGGCAAGCTCTCTACCACTGAGCCACCTTCCCAGCCCTGCAGTACGCTTTACATTAAGACACATACAAAAACTTCTTTATAGTTTATTGTTTATCCATGTGCAAGATAATGCCCTAGAAAGATCTTTTAATTGATTAAATGATTTAGTTTCCACTGCCATCTTACTTGTGAAATTATAACCATAACCTTAAATTACTATTATATCTATTTTACAGATCCAAGAGTAAAGGTAAGTAAATTGCCAGATGTTGCACAGTTAATATAAATATATTCACAGATTCTAGTTTTAGTAACTACATTTTAAGAGCAATACAGTAGTTATCTTTTCTTCATTAAGTAGCTGTACAAAGAGATGTCACTTCCATAAGTCAGGTTATGAATACAATGCATTTTATTCACTATCACCCCATCCATCATTCGCCCCCATTTTCCCCCGCCATCTCCTACCCTCAAGTTATGTCCTTCAATTTTATGTAATGTAGCCTGTGCCCATCTTCTCAGGCTTGTAACCATTGCATGCTATAGAAAAGAAAAACTGTCAGTTATGGAAAGCAAGATGCAGGATAATGAGCAGTAGAGTTGTGCACATGTGTGAATAAATGTGAAATAGCTCTGGAAGGATACTAGATAAACTGGTAGCTATAGTTGCCTCCAAAGAAAGGAAGTTACGTAACAGGTAGATGAAGGATCTTTTCCTTAAAATCCTTTTCTGATGTCAGAACTGTATGTATATTTTATTGCCTGTCAAAGTCCCAAAAGCTAACCCGTGAGATCCGAAAGGATTGGTAATTTGGAAGGCCTTTCCCCAACATACACTCAGAACACCAAGTTTCCTGGGAAGGTCAATCAGCCCTGGCTTGATAGGAATTCAGATTTCTATCCTGGGTGTAGGCTAATTGGACCACAAGCCTTCTGGAAGCTTGGGGATAGCCTAAAGTCCATGCAAATTGTAAGCCATTTACTGCTTACCTCTACTTCCTAAGATAAGGTAGTCATTTATCACTTGAATAAGATTGTGTCACATGCTTGATGTTTTTTACTCCAAGGATATTGAATAACATTGTATCACATGATCAGTGCTTATGACTTAAAGAATATTGTGACCTTACTTTCCGCACTGTACTCTACTCAAATACCTTGTGGAAAGGACCTTGGGTACCTGGAGCTGGCGTTTAGTGTCCCAAACCCCAGTCCACAGTCCTAGTAATCCATGGATGAGGGTGCAGCCCTCATGACCTACATACCATCCAGTAGATTCTTCCTCTCATATAGCATTCATTGGGGTAAGTTTTTACCATATGAATTTGGGGAGGCATATACAAACCACAGCAAGTGCAAATCTTACTTTCTCCCTTAGCCCTGCCTGTCTTCAGCAGTGTCCTTGAGCCTCAGTTTTTGTAAACAGTAGAAATGAGATGATTCAGGCAGGGACTTTGTAAGAATGATTTTATCTGAGGAGTATATTCACAATACCCAAACTTACAATAAATAGTGGATCTATAAATTATTGTACTGTGGGAGGTGCGACTAGCTGTGACTAACCACAGGTTACTCAGCAATTGCTTTGATTGGGCCAGGCATAGGAGCTAAGGGGCACAGAAGAATGTAGGAGCAGAGTGAGTACACAATAGCATTGTAGGCAAAGAAAGGAATATCACAGTCAAAGAATCAAAAATGGTGCAATAAGGCTAGTAATTAGTACCTGTAATCCCAGTTATTCAGGATGCAAAGATCAGGAAAATTGCAATTTCAGCCTAGAAGTTAGTAAGACTCCATCTTAACAAGTTGGGTGTGGTGGTTCATATGTGATCTCAATTATACAATAAGCCATAGACAGAAGGTAAAAACAAGATGCCCAACCAGTTAGAAAAGTTCCCCCAGAAAACCCACATGAAGCATTCAGGGTCAGTTTTACCAAAGTTGTTCAGACCTCAGGATACAACTATGTGCAAAACTGCCCTTAGCATTTCAGGACTTCCAGCCACTCTGAGCTTGCTCTGTAAAATATGTCAGTTTTGCACAGGGGTGGCAAAGCAGGGAGAGAAGCATACACATTTGCAAGATTCCCCACTAGGTGGCAGTACAATTTTATTTTAAACGATTTGGAAATAATGTTGTTAACTAAGTCTCACCTAAGGCATGGTATTTGTCACAAGGAAAACTTGTGAGAAGAGTGAGAACACTGGCCCCATGGTGTAATGGTTAGCACTCTGGACTTTGAATCCAGCGATCCGAGTTCAAATCTCGGTGGGACCTCTTCAGCTTTTCATTTTCCTGGTTGTCTTTTAAAATGTTGTGTACCTTCCTATAATCCATGCCAGCGAACAGGAATGCTCCAATATGAGCAAGTCTCTATGCCAAAATGCTGTAGCTCTCCTCTCATACATACATTCCCATAAACTGTGATGTGATAAATACCTGGTCTGTGGGCAATAAACTTGGAGTCATTTTGCTCTTCCTGGGGGCCCATTGCTTCCAAGAATGCTCTCAACGAGGCAGGATTTACCCATATATGAAGGGCATACTTGAGTACCAGTCCTTAAATAGGCCATCTCATCCTATCATAGCTACACATTCCTTAGGCTCTTTGTTGTTGTTGTTGTTATAAAGGTGGTTATAAAGGGGTTATGTTACACAAGTCAGGTAATGAGTACATTTCTTTTTGAACAATGTCACCCATTCCCTCCCTCTCTCCCAGTCTTAGGCTCTTTCTTAGCTTTTGGTAAGCTTGTGAAAGCCTCTGCTCTTGGATTAAGTTCCTATTTGTGGTTCATTGTTGAGAACAACCCATGAGAATATTAACCCTACAGATTCCAGTCCAAGTCCTTACCCTTTGCCTGAGATATGTTTTTTTTACATTTGAATCATAGCCTACACAAATCCAACCTCACTTGTTACCATACCTAACATTAGCCCAAGATAGATAGTCACTAGTAATGTGTAAAATTCTGCTTATGCATTTCATTCCTCGGGTCTCATTTTCTACCTCCAAAACATGTTGTCCTCCATTCCCTCTTCATGAGATCTACATCCCTAGTGATTCCTGGAATATTTTCTTAGATCTGAAGACCTTCTCACTGCGGCCTTCACTTGGCTCCCTATGTTCAGCAGAACCCCATCTGCATTTCCTCAACACCCTAAAAATCTTCCAATACTACATCTTTTATTTGATTTTTAAATCAGGTTCCTCTAGAGGAGAGACCACACTACTTTGTCTTATTCACCTTTCAGTCCCCAGTCTTACCACACTTTGTTTATATTAGATCAAAAGTATTTACTGGGTCCATAACTTTTATCTAACCTCACGTCATCCTAGACAAAGTGAAGACTTTATGCTTGTGTTTGATTAGAAATCTTTCTGTGTAGCAAATTCTGGAGCCCGAGCTGTGAGACCAGGAGAGTTAAGAGTTTGGAAGGCTGCCTCAATAGCACTCAGAAGGCTGAGGGCTGGACCCTGAAAGGTTAACAGTTAAGGCAAGAAAGTTTAACTTACCACCCTAAGTGCACTTAAGTTAGAGCTGCTTGGACACTAAAAGCTTAAGACCTTGGAGATAAGATGAATGTCTGTGTTATGGTTTGAGTGTTTATTGTTCCCTTCTGCTTCCTAATGATAAGGAGTCCAATTATCACTGAATCTACAAACTATACCTCATGTTAATGGTTGTAACCACAAAATAGGTTAATAGCTGAGCCACCACCATCCAGCCCCGCAATTTAAGAAAAAAAAATTAATGGGAACTCAGAACTTCAGAAGCTGGTGAGCTCTGGACCCCCTAATGCCTTCTTTCCTATCTTTTTTCTCAGTTCTTCAGCCCAGTATTCTCCCATTGTGCTGTTCCTGGTTGTGTTTAGCAACCAGAGGCACCCAGTATGGGGCTCCAACGACCAGTGAACTGAAGTATTTGGAAAAGCCAACTGAAGAACATTGAAGAGTTGGTGGTCCAGGAAGGAACACACCAGGACCATGCTTCAAGACCATCAGGATAACAATGGGGCAAACTAAAAGCAAAAGGGCTAAGTATTTTGAGCTGATAAAGATGCTGCTGGCAGTGTCAGGAGTAAAAGTAAAGAGAAGAGATTTTGAGGATCTAGCCTGTTATATGGAGAAATATTGTTGCCGGTTACCTCCACAAGGAATGCTGCAAACGCAGCAGTGGAAGGAGGTGGTCGGGGCCTTTGAAAGGGCTGGCAGCCAGGGGAAAATAATCCCATGTAAAATTTGGGTTTTATGCCATTTAATTACAGTGGTATTGCAGCGTTCTCAAACTCCTCCACCATCAGAGTGTGGGTCTGTATGGGAAGCTCCCGTGTAGAACCAGGATAAGGATGGAGACTCTCGGTCTTGTGACAAAGAGCATTAAAAATGCAAAGCCTGGGAGAATGATGAGGAGTCTGCCCCCAGGTATGAGGAATTTAAACATTCTCAGGCCTCTCAGTCCCCTCCTTTGCTGTTGTCTGTTCCTCCAGTAGTGGGTCAGATGAGTTCCCTTGCTCAAAAGACAAAGGGAATTGAAGGCTTGTATTGATGTGCCTTCTGTGGCGCCAGAGGGCGGTTCCCATGCTGAGTATGCTACCCTGCCTTAGAAGACACTTTGGGAGCTGAGACAAGCTATCTCCACCTATGGAGCTACCTCCCCTTACACCATGGGCATCCTCATGGGAGTGGTAGAGGCTAAACACCTGATTCCCCAGGACTGGGAAAGCTTGGCTAAAATCCACTTGGAGCCTAGTCAGTATTTGCAATTAATTGTTAAAAGCTATCCTCTTTCAAAAGCACCTCTTTATTTTACTGGCAGAAACAAAAAGGGGAAGATAGACATATTGTTCCACTAATAATTAACTCCCCTTAGGAGTCTACCCAGCAGAATGAAATAATAGTGGTCATCCAGCTGCTCCAGGGTTTCTTTAATCTTACTAGAACTCATTCCCAATTGCCCAGACTTTGTCCCAGGGCAATGAGTTTGTTGATCACAGGTGTTCCCTCTACTATTAAAAGGGACAATGCCCCTGCCTATACTAGCAATAAGTTGCAAACTTTCTTAAATAAATGGTACATCAAACGTTTTACAGGAATCCCATGTAATCCTCAAGGACAAGCCATTGTGGAATGAAATAACCAGGTCACTAGACCCCCAAAGAGCAAAAAGCAATGGGATTATATACCCTTAATTTTGACAGTGTGACTTTTCCATCCAATACTTCAGCAGCAGATAAACATCAGAAGGATCTGGAAAAAAAATGCAGTCTTCATGTCAGCTTATATGGTAGAGGGATGACAATAACTGGAAATCCGGAACTGTCAAAGTACAGGGCCGTGATTATGCTTGTGTCTCCACAGACTCTGCAGATGTCTGGCTACCAGCCCAAAAACTAAAACTCAGGAATGAAGAAAAGATCATCCAACATCAAGGGACCTCTGGAGGAATCCTTGAAGAAGATGAGGGTGACTGAAGGCTCTGAATGAACAGAACAGCACAACAGAACAGGGACCATTCCCACCTGGGGACAAATGAAGAATCTTTCTCAAGAAGCCAAAAGACGTCTAAAGGAAGCCTGGCACCAGTGGCGCACACCTGTAATCCTAGCTACTCAGGAGGCTGAGATCTGAGGATTGTGGTTTGAAGCCAGCCTGGGCAGAAAAGTCCCCATGAGACTCATCTCCAATAAACTACTCAAAAAAGCAGGAAGTGGCACTGTGGCTTAAGTGGTACAGCGATAGCCTTATATACAAAGAGGCTCAGGGACAGTGCCCAAGCCCTAAGGAGTTCAAGCCCTTGGACCAGCAAAGAGAGAGAGAGATGTTTAAAGGACAATGGACAAGAAATTAATGAAGTATCTTTGTTTTGTAATGATGATGGCACCTTGTAGTGCCTCCTACACAGTGCAAGCCTCTGCTTGGGGGGATTCCAATTATGGGTAAACCGTTGTACCTAAATTGTACTGTGATAGGTAACAATTCAAAAGTAGGACCTGTTCCATAGGTATAAAGACTGAGTTGAAATATTTGGTCAGAAAAATCTTGAGGGGCCCTTGATAAACATGATCAGTCTAATATCCAGTTTGGTATTAACTATACCAAACTTAGGACCTCCCCCGAGAATGAAGGAGAATATAATTGTTCCAAAAGACAGAAAAGTTACTCTAAAGACAATGTTCTTATGGGGGAAAAAATGTCACACTACATTGGGCCCCTGAGTCAGAATTTACCAGTTCTTCAAACATATGATTTCAGTTGGCCATTAATAATACCATACAGGCCTCTGACTCTGAGCTGTGAGGCCTGAAAGGATTCAAGAGCTTGGAATGCCATCTTGAAATGCCTTTGGAATGCTGAGGGCTGAGCCCAAGTAAGGTCAAATGGTTGAGGCTAACATAAAAGTTACTACCCTGTGTGTTTAGAGCTGCTTGGACACTACACTTAAAGCCTTGGAGATAAGATGGATGTCTGTTTTATGGAAGGAATTTTTTTGCTCCCTAACAAAGGAGTCATTTATCATGGGTCTTAAACACCAGGCCTACGTACTGTCTCTGAGCTCTTCAGTGCAAGTATAGTGCGCTAGCACTTGAGCCACAGTGCCACTTCCAGTTTTCTGGTGGTTAATTGGAGATCAGTCTTACAGACTCTCTTGCCCAGGCTGCCTTTGAACCTCAATGCTCAGATCTAAGCCTCCTGAGTAGCTAGGATTACAAGCATGGGCACCTGGCAAAAAGTCAGTTATTTCTAGGTATACAAATTATACCTTATGAATGTCTAACCACAAGATAGATTGATACCCTATTCTCTCCATTTATCTGTAGTTGCCCCTCCCCCTGTTCTAATCTCAGTAAAAACTCTTGTTAAGGAGATCTTGGGACCTGGTAGCAGGAATCACATCAGGTCACCTGGTTCCCCAAAACCTCAGTTTTCCAGCCTGGTTTCCCCTTCTTGTCCCAGTCACAGCAACACTTCTTTTGTACCAAGAAAAACCCTTCTGTACAACATATCCCATCACACAATTTAGTCAGACTTGCTGTCTGTAGGGAAGGGTACAAAAACCTAACCCAATGTGAAATTAGCAAGATGAAATCTTGGAGAATGAGTTAACTATGGACCCTGTACATTATAAATGTTTATGTTTCCTGTTGTGTGGACAATCTTAGTAACTGTTCTGAAACAAGACGATTTGTTACTACTTAATCAGCTGGTTTTTCTTTGTAACAAATGTTCCGGCTATAATTTTGGAAGAAATCAGGAAATAAAGAAGTTAACTTTTACAAAATCAAGCTGCCATAGATTATTTGCTAGTGAAAAATCATTTAGGATGTGAACAATTTGAAGGATTGTGCTGTTTTAATACAACTAACAATTCTCAAAACATTCAGAACCAATCAGAGCAGCTCAAAACGGATTGGGCAAGTCAAAAATTACTAATGACTCAGTGCCCCTAGGATGACTGTCTTGGCTGTGGCCCTTTTTGGGTCGAATAGCTTCTGTCTCAGGGGTCATCCTATTGGCTCCCTGTCTCTTCCAGGGTTTGTCCCTTTTCATTCATGGTTTATTAGCCCAAGCAGGAGTGAGAGCCGTGCTGTCTCAAATAGCAATGTAAATTCTGGAGCCGAGCTGTAAGACCAGGAAAGGGTTGAGAGATTCGAAGGCCACCTTGACACAGAAGGCCAAGAGCTGGGTCCTGGAAAGGGGATGCGGCTGACCGCACCCACAAAGTCCCTCTCCAAAGCCAAGTGGGAGTGGGCCTCAAAAGTGAGGCGGGGTTGGGAACTTTGGACCTTTAGGAATCTCTCCCCACACTTCCTCAGGATGAAAGGGAGAGGCCAGGGGTGGACCGGTGGCAGGGAGGCCCCATTCCCCACCCCCTGGCCCCTCCGTCGGGCTCTCAGGTCTTTGGGGGTCCCCTAACCCCGTGGTCCAAGCATACGTGTTTCCGTATTGCGTAAACACTGTCTTACCTGTGGCTTCAATTTTAAAAAACAAAAATCCCTATGTGTCCTCCAAAGCTCCTGGCGCCCAGAAGTTGATTTCTTGTAACAACAAAAAGATCCGATGATGAACAAGAGTGAAAAGCCCCTTGCCTCCCGCGGGTCCCTCACCTGTTAAACAGAGGTAACAGCCCGCATCTCACAGGGCTGCTGAAAGCCATCATGACCCCTGGCTAGCCGTGGCCGCCCGCTTTGGTTTAGAATTCTCTTTCCCAGTGAAAAAACAGAGACCCAGAGGCTGCGGGGGGGGGGGGGGGGGAGGGGGGGGAGTAGGGGGGGGCGGTATGGGGCACGAAGGTGTGTGGCACTAAGTTCTTGAACCACGACAGCGATGTGGAGGTGGAGGGAGGGGTCCTCCCTTTTCTAAATTAGCAGTTGTTGAACGAGGTTAGATACAGGCATGCCAGACTTTCTCCTAGAGAGGAAAAGGAGAATGCTTGGCGTGTTGACCTTGCAGACAATCAAGTTGGGAAAGTTTGAAAGAAGATGTTCGCTAAAAAGTTTATATTGAAGGGAAGATGCTAACCAGTGGCCCCATGGTGTAATGGTCAGCACTCTGGACTCTGAATCCAGCGATCCGAGTTCAAATCTCGGTGGGACCTATGGTTCTTCTTTTCAGGGTTCAATTTTCAGTCAGGAGAAATTATTTGGAGACATGGGAGCCAGATAGGAAGTAGAGAATGAAAGATATCTCCTTCACTAAGTGATCAATTTCCAACTAAACGTTAGTTTTTTTTGTTATATGAGTACCACAAATCAAATACTTACTTGTAGTTGTTTACATACCACTCTAAAGTTTAAAGACACCTTAAACCCGAAGAAAAGTATTGAAAATACAGAAGGTACTGGTAATGATGACTAAATTCTTAAAACATTTTTCTGTTTCAGAGTGGTCACAGCCTTCAAGCGTAAACATGAAAATTCCATGGCAAATATATAATAGAAGTTTTTCTCTTCAGAAGAGAAAAGAAAGGATTCCCAAACACTATTCAGTTCAGGTGTGGGCCTGAGTGCTGTCCCTGAGCTATTTTTGCTCAAGGTTAGCACTCTACCACTTTGAGCCACAGCTCCAGTCCTGGTTTTGGAGATAAGAGTCTCACAGGGACTTTTATGCCAGGATCCTTAGATCTCAGCCTCCAGATTAGCTATGATTACAGGTGTGAGCCCTGGGTGCCCGGCTATTTTTCAGTTTTTAAATAAAGCTATGGAAGTATACTTTTAGAGGATTCTACTTCACATCAAATTGTTAGTCTTTAGGCTCCTGTGAACACAATTCATTGAGAGTTTAAATCTTCTAACGTTTAGATTTTGCTGTATGTTGGCAATTACATTTTGGGGAAATGACTAACATTTGTGAAAAATTATTTTTAGAAGACTATTTTTTTAAAGTAAGAGGGCAGAAAATGTATGATTCATAAAGATGCTAAGAGATTAAATTCACTTAAAGACAGTTCCTGATTAAAACACTGAAGTAATAAGAAAAAGCAACTCCCATCATATCATGAGGAGTGAGGAAAGCCTGAGAAGTAGTAGAAAATGAGAATGAGTTTGGGCAGATAAGAAGTTCACTATGCCTGGGCTTGGAAGACAATTGTAAGAACGGAGTGAACATGCAGTATAATAGTGTAAAAAGCAATGCAAGATGCTTCCTCCTATTTACCAGCTAAGAGCCATCCTCTTCTTCATTATTTATTCATGATCATGGATCTTTTTTTATTTTTTTTGCCAATCGCTTTAATGGCTTATAAATTCAGTATTGCCCTTATTATATGGATATTCAAATTAACTCGTTTAATTAACCCTTGCAAACTGTCCTTCTGAGTTCTTTAACATGACACTGCTTTGTTTATTTTCTTCCTAGCATAATAAATTGCTCAGGGTTGACTTATTTCTACTGGCCCAGCCTTCAAGTAATTTAGTTAAACATGCTGATTCCTTTTAGTGGGGGAAATAGCATGTAGAGGCCAATATCTGTGGGAAGGGAGAAAGAGGGAAGTCTTAAGGTTGATTCTAGGATATCTATTTTTTGGTCTCTTTAATGAACAGACAAGGAAGTGTATGTGCATGCACAAGCATGCACATGTGGATACTTAATGCAGTGTGTGTACATCTACACATTTCTATATACTTGTATAAACATTTTAGAACTCGTGAGTTCTGTAACCCTGCTTGCTTGCTTTGGTAAACATTACCTATGTGAAACCCCTTCCTATAAAAAAATCCCCCATGAAAAGCAAATGGGGCTGTTCTCCAGCTCTGTGTGCTGGGGACAGACGCCACACGGCTCAGTGAAAAACTTCTAGCCATCCTTTCACTGATTGTGGGTTCAAGTCCCATAGGCTCCGGGAGCTGGGATACTACAGTACAATGAGCATTCTGGCTGTATTTTCCCCTGATCCCTTTTTTATTCTCAACTAACAGTTTTCTCTCCATTTTTTTTTTTTGGCAAGTACATCAATAAGAATTCTGTTTATGTGTTTCTTTTCTGAGTTTGTCCATGAAATTGTAATGCAAAGTTTTATTTAATGTATTCCAATGGTTTCTACTATTTGTTTTATTTTTCTTATGACATTCCCAGGAATCTAGTTTGTACAAATAGGGAGGAAAGAAACTACAAAAGGTGCCTTCTAAGGTTATTATAACATAGAT